TCAGCAGACACCTCGTTTTCAAGTATGTTCGCTTCTACCATATCTAAACCTTGAAGAAGCCTCTCCTTTGCGAGCAGGCCCTCCCAAGGACAGCAGACACCTCGTTTGCAAGCATGTCCGCTGTTACTTATCTATACCTTGACAGAATATCCCCTTTGCAGGCAGACTCCATCAAGAACAGTAATAGTAACGCAGTTACATTTGATTCTCTACAATTATGATGACACAAAATGATTGAGTTCAGTTTCTTTTCCCATATGGATTTCCAGGTGTTCCTATAACACGTGTTAAAACCCTACCTTTTTCTCCATTGAATTATCTTGACACTTTTGTCAAAAATGTGATCTATGTGTCTGTTCTTACATCAATGCCATGTTTTGTGGATTGTTGTGATTTCATAAGTCTTAGAATAAAATATTTTAAGCTTTCCAACTTTGCTCTTATTTTTCTGTAAGTCTCTTGTTGTGACCTTTTAAGAAATGGTACAGAGAATTTAGCATTGCAATGAGTAAAATGACTAGAATTAACAATGGTACCTAAGGATACACAACACCAATTTAGAGTCTGTTTCCAATAGCAATACGGGAAATTCTCATAGTTTTCTGGGCACTGAATAGAATATTCAGAAGGGTCTCATGTCCAAAGTAGTAAATAATTAGCCACTTTCTGGTTTACCTAAAAATGTTAAAAGACAGAACACAAAAAACCAAACAGGTCTTGAATGACTTCATTTGTCTCAGTAATAAATGCTGAACAATGTAAATGACATGCAAAAATAATTGGAATCTAACTTGGTTAAGTCAGAATGTCTGACATTAAATTAAAAGCCACCAAGAATACAATGAAAGCAAGAAAATGCAATTCAGAAAGCAAATAAATGCAATCAATCTAGCCCAGAACTGACACTAAGCTTAAAATGAACAATGAATGACATTATACTCAGTAATTTACATAAGAGACATGAAAGATACATAAAAAGCAAAAATTAAATTTGCAACCATAAAAATTCTGAGATGTAGAATATGATGGTGATGGTAGACTCTGTGTTGTACAACAGTGAGTGTCTTTGAAGGCACATAAACAAAAAAATTCCTTAATTACATAAAGGTATAATATTTATACATATGTTCAGTGGATAACATTTAGACAGGATATGTTTAATATTAAGCACACAAAGAGGAAGAACAAATAGAACTATAGAGGTGGTATTTTTACATTTCACTGAAATTGAGTTAGTAGTTTCCAAAGTAGTTTCTAGTAAGGTCAGATGTATACAGTGGATCCTTCAAGCAACCATTAAGTAAACTCTAAAGAAAAATGATTAAGAGAATTAAAATACTAAAAATATCCATGTGACACATGCAGACTATGTTAGGGAGAATGGAATAAAAAATATGGAAATCAAATGGTTAAATGACAAACAAATTCAAGTGTATAAATATTAACATTAAGTGGAAGTGGAATGACCAAGCCAATCACAAGGTCAGATTGTTGCTTTAGGCAAAAGAATAAGACCAGACTATGCTGAAAGAATCATACCTCACAGTCACAAGTACATTAAAATCTAATATGTGACCCATTGATATACTAACAGCAACCATGATAAACCTGGAGTACTTACACACATATTTAAAAAATAGCCTATTTACTGGGAGTAGTGATAAACAGGGAATTTTGAAATGATGCTTTAGACAGCTTTCCATCACTGTGACAAAACACCTAAGGTAATCAATATATAAAATTGGAAAGGCTTCTTTTGGCTCACAATTTCAGAAATTCCATTCCATGGGCAGCTGGTCCTGCTGCCTTGTAACATCTGGCCCAATAAAAATCACACTAGGGAACATTTGGTGGAAAAATTGATCCCCTCATATTAACAAGAGAGCAAATAGAGAAAAATAAGAAAATTCAGGGTCCCAAAATTTCATCAAGGGCATGACCCAAAGAAGAAGACTTTCTCTCATCAGGACCCTCCTCTTAAAAGCTCTACCTTCTCCCTATGGTGCCATAAAGTAGTGATCATGTCATTAACACATAGGTCTGTGGGGGACACTTATAGAAACCTTAGCAAATGATAAAATATAAATTCAACAGACAGATAGAACAATGCAAAATATATGTGCATCTAATAATAAAGCACCAAAATATAGCCATACATCACATAATAGATAGACAAGAAACTAGTAATGGTGACTCAAGAATAAATAGATATTTAGAATATAACTAGAACAAGTGAAGACACTGAATTAGTAATAATATATTTTATAAATATACCTACAAAGAAAACTCCTTCTCCAAATGATTTTACTGGTAAATTATACCACAGAGGTGAAGATAATTATTGATGACTGCTCAGGCTCCTGGCTCACTATGGGAATTCTAGAGTTTGATTGCTTGGCTTTGAATCTTGGCTCTACCATTTGTGGGTTATGAGACCTTGGGAAAGTTTCTGAGCCCATTATGTCTCTGCTTTACCTTCTATACAATGGGGAAGATGCTGACTGTTGTACTGAATGTTCACTTGGTTAAATAAGTGACTGTGGTTAAAATAGCACATATATAAAAATGAGATAGTCTTGTAAAGTCAATAATTATTTAGACATATGACTTTTTAAAACTGTTGTATGTATTTCACAGGACACGGTCATGACTGGGAGAGAGACCTAAAACACAAGGGTTTTTGTGAGCTGTTGGGGGAGGTATCCACGTCAGGCAGTAATGGCTTCTACAGCTGCAGGCACAGAAACTGATGAGGAAAATTAAAGGATAAAAATACAGAAACAGCCCTCTTTCCTCAAGTGGAAAATGAAGGAAGCAGGAAAGTCAGGGCACCCTCCACTGGTCACCTTAGAACTGTGCTTCTATCTGAGGTAGCCATGACCCCACACAAACCCCCTCATCTTCCTAGGCTCAGCTTTCTCTCCTGACTTTGCCTTCTTGTGGCTCACAGTGGCCTTCAGCATTTAAATGTGTTCTTTGTATAGTGCGGGATGCTGTGAGAATTTGTTTATGTAGTGTTTGTTAGTAATCATAAGGAATTTTCCTGCCACTTGGAGGAGAAAAGTGGGTAACAGATTACTGAAGTAATTAGTTCCAAGTCCAGCCAG